GAGGGAGGGGAGGGAAGGGAGGGAAGGGAAGGATGGAAGAAAGAAAAACAGCACTCATGAAACCCGCTGCCCAGCACCATCCACCCCACGTTGCCTCCCAACACAGAGCCCCGACCCCGGCCTGCTTTCGTTCAGTCACATTTCTGGGAAAACAAATCTACTGTCTCCCGGCGTCTCTGTCTGGCATCTTCCAATAAAGTAGCCACCCCATGGCCAGCAGCAGCAGACCCGAGGTGGGTTTCTGATTCAGAGACCTGGGTGCTCGGGTGCCCCACACTTCAGCAGAACCAGAGCTTTTAGCTTTGCTACTATTATTGGAATTCAAGTCATCAAGAAAACTAGGCAGATGGGCCAATCTAAATATTCTGCAATTGGTAAGGATTTCACACAGCTTCCGCAGAAAGAGAGACGTATCTCAAGTTCGCAGCCATCTTCCCAGCGCCCCCCACCCTACCCCACAAAGAGTCCCTGGGACTGGGGGTGCAAATGAAGTCAGTTCAGTCTCAATACCCAAGTGTTTCCCAAAATCCTCTTTAATAATACATGAAACCCACATTGCTGCAATCAGTATAAAAACAGTTATTCCTGATTTTGTACAAATGAGCATGTCTAGAGTCAGGATTATCAAGCATCAAGATACAAGTACCAAGTGGGAGGACCAAAGACAACTCACAGTGAAGAGAAACGCTTGGGAACAAGAAATGTCGAAGCTGCAGGACGTGGTAACAACCCAGGGTGCCGAAAGGGTCAGAGGTGCAGGTGCAGACGCAGGTTTCTGCCTGTGCAAGGGTGAGGGGCCGTCGCAGGCTGGCTGCAAAGGACCAGTGCCGGGCAGTGAGGCAGAGAGTGCCAGGGCTCTCGACTCTGCAGATTGGGCTTTGCAGAAGATTCCTGTTTCCCCACCTCCCCACCCCTCTGACAGAGACCGAGGAGACCACGCACATTGCCCTCCTCTTCATAGCCAGCCATCGTTTCCACTCCCACATTCTGCTGCGTGTGTCACTCTGGAAAAATAATTCCTTGGTGTTCCTTGCTCCTTTCAGATCACAGCTTGCCTGGTCAGACCCCTTCCCACATGCACAGTCTGAGTCCAGGAGGCCCTCGAAAGTCAGGCACAACACCCAGATCTGGTCCTCTTGGGCGGCTTCTGACTGGATATATCCACTGTGTGTGACGGCCTCTCGGCTCTCTGCTGTAAGATCATTGGCACCACCAGGTCAAACAGGGTCTCAAACAGGAGGTCCACATTGTAGCCGGTCTTGGCGCTGGTCTCAAAGCACATCTGCTCAGCGGCCGGCACGTCCTGCTCATCCAGCATCTTGTACTTGAGGATCTTTTTATAAAGGGCCACGGCGTCCTCCAGCTGCACCTGCTTAGGCACCCTGGGGGAGACACAGTCCCCGGCATCCGTATCTGGACTGCACTTTTCCTTCTCCTGGCCCGCCAAGGCCCCCTCCTCAGTGAGGTCCACTTTGTTCCCCACGATGGCGAAGAGGCAGTCTTTGCTGGCCGTGTCTGTCAGGCCCAGGAACCGGTCCTCCAGCTCCACCAGGCTCTGCGGGTGATTCACATCATAGGTGAGGATGATGGCGGCTGCTCCCCGGCAGTACATGGAGCCCAGACCATGGAACTGCTCCCGCCCTGGTGGGAGAAGAGGGACAGAAAGACTGGTTATCTCTCATCTCAGAACACAGCCACCAGCCACACTGCAAGGGAGCGTCCCACAGGGATGTTTATTTTTAGGGCAATACATACAGGATGAAACGCTTAAACATAGTTGATGGAGAACGTGCCACCCATGGGCACCATCCCCAGAGCAGGAAGCCCCTCGAGAAAACAAGCTGTTGGGTGCCCAGAGTAGATGGGAAATCGAATCTAAGAATGTTCAGGAAGAACAGGCCTCAGGCATTCACACAGCCCTCCCTGCCTTCAAGCACCAACTCCAATGGAGCCATGGCCCCAGCCGTGGCTGGAGATGGAAGGAATCAAGAACCGATATCCAGAAAAAGGCAGCGACGGCCAAGGCCCTTGCTGAGATAGAAGCTGACTCAGGAATGCAGGCTCTGGAAGCTAAGTGTGCTCATGTCCCTTCACCCTCCTCCTCCTACAGCCCGTGGGTGCTCCCAGCTGCCCCGTGCTGCCCTGCCCAGGAGGCGCTGCGGGGAGAGCTTCTGAGTTCACAACAGGGGTTGTAAACCACAGCTGCACTTACCTGCCAGAATCACACAGCACCTTGCAGTGTTCACAGTATTTTTAGGACACAGTGGACATCTTCTCTCCCTCACTGGAATCTGAATCCCTGAGGAGCCAGGCCTCAGCGTTTGCACTTCTTGCGGGTGCCGCAGCCCCACCTGCCCTCCAGGCTTTAAAACAGACAGAGGTGCGCGCAATTGCAGGCAAGTTGGGAGCCTGCTCCCAAAACATTTCCAGGTCGAGATCAAACCCTCGGGACACGGCTCAACGCCAACACATTGGCTGCTGACAAGGTGCTGTCTGTCGCTGGGTCTGGCAGGGAACAGGGCCAGCTGGCACACACCCTGCAGTGCCTGGAGCGTGGGCCTCCGCTCTCCCCGTGCCCCCAGCACTTCGGCCTCACAAGGTCGGTGAGGGCACACACGCCTTCCACGAGGAGACTGAAGTGTGGGGGAGTCAGGCACAGCAGTGCTCGAGGGAGGCTGGGCCAGGGCACTGGAACACCCGCCACCACCCTGTATATAAATGCAGAGGCCCCCAAATTGATGGCTAAAAAGGGGGATGAAAAGGTCCTGGTCTCTGTGTACTTTTACAATGCAATCATCTAACCAAACCAACCCGGGTCAGAATACACTCCCCACAGGTAACACCTGCACATCCATAGTGTCCTGTTCCCGACATCTGCCCCAGGGCCACCTTTCTATCCCACCAGCAGTGCGCAGATCCCCAAGGGGGCCTGCTCACCTCCCCACCGGCAGGCAGCTCCCTGCCAGTCCACTCAAGGGCTACCCAGGAACTTTCTGGCAGAATTCTACACTCCTGCCTGTAGCACAAGCTTCCTGCATACTCAGATTTGGAGGACAGACCCCCACAAGGGGAGCAGATCTGGCCAAGGCAGGTGTTCCTGGGATAGGTGCAGTGCACACAGCAGGTGACAGCCCCCAGCAGGGACGGCCCAGACGAGCACGCCTGCTGGTATGTCCTCCAGGCCTCGGCATGCTTTTCATCGTTGGGCACATCTGCCGCGTTGGGGCGATGAGCTCTCAGGTTGGGGCGATGAGCTCTCAGGAAGCAGCTGTGGGAGAGGCGGCAGCATGCACCATGGCCCCCACCTGCCTCTCGCGGACCGAGCAGGGTGTGCGTGGCATGGGCCCTCCCTGCTGGCAGAAAGGGGCTTCACAGGCACTCCCGGTGATGAATCTGTTTCAATCACCAACGAGCAAACCCTAAGTGAGATCTTCCAACCACAAAGCACCTGCTCCCCACCACACCTGCCAGGGGCACACTTTCGAAGAGGAATGAGACTGAGACCTGTGCTCAGACGCCATCCCAAGGAGCCTCTGCAGACAGGCCTGGAAGCTGCAGGCCAGCTCCTCCCCTCCTCCCCGGGGCATGTGTGGCCTCCCGGGCCGTGCCCTTAGACCAAGAGGAGGGAGAGCTGGGAACGACTGACAACAGCACTGGCCTCCACTCTCAAGCTCAGAACGCAAGGTCAAGTGCCTTTGAACAAGGATGAGGCTGCTGGGGCGCTGGCGCAGAGAGAGGTGGCACCCGGGGAGTGTCCAGGCCCCATTCCAATCCCTTCCCTGGGAAAAGTAAGCCTGATTTTGATTTTTTAAAAAGAAGCTAACAATGTGGATTTTAATCTCCCAAGTTTTAAGCATTCACAACTAATTCAAAATGTTCTAAAGATCACATTTAGGCAAACCAAAATGCAACAGTGGCCCATCATCGGCAGCTTCTAAATTATAAATGGTCCCATGTCACTCTGAGGGCAACTTCCCCTGAGTGTGTGGACAGCGTCGACCAGTAGCAAGGGCTCTTTACCACCGGGGTCATAAACCAAATTCATAGGGTCCATGACCTTGAATGTGGGAGAAAATGTCATCTTTGTTTTCACCACGCTCTACCTGAAATTTACCACTTCCTTCCACTATAAATATTGGCAGCAAACTGCAGAAATGGCAGTAAGGGGCACTCATCACCAACAAGGCCAGCAGGTGCCTCCATCCGCATGCCAGCCGCCTCAGACACTCCAGTGCGATGCCGACGACCCTTCAGGCCTGCCACGCCTTCATTCATTAATATGTGGACCATGGACCACATACCAATCGTAATTTTAAAAGGCTCTGGATGGCTGTACTTAAGGACAGCTGGTTACCTTTGTATGTGACTACACGTACTTGGGCACAGTGTTCTGAGAAGGGGTCCTTGGCTCATACGCCTCGGGGGCCGAGGGGATCTTGACACAAATGAAGTTAAGGACGCTTGGTCTGTGGGGCTTTGGAGCATGGACTGAACGCACAACACCTGCACATATGTGGCTCCCTAAGGCACACTGTCCTTTGCCAATAAACCACCACTCAGAGCCAAATAGCCAAGAAACACAACACAATTTCATCCCATTTCCATCCCCAGTCTCCTGAAATGGCCACATTCTGATGACACCAAGTCCTCAAACCTTGCTAGGCGATGCTGCCTGAATTTTGAGGCAGGCTGGTCACCCTTTGGGCAACCCTGGGGAGAGGATCCCACAGAGACACACACTCATGTCCTGCGAGAAGAGCCAGACGGACCTGACTACTGACCACTGTGGTCTCCCAGGCCCCGAGCGTGGGTTCCAGCTCCCCTTCAGCAAAGCCGACAGTGTGCCCTTCGGGGATGGGAGGCAAAGTGAGCTGGGAGCTGAGCCCAGACCAGCTCTGGTAGGAGGCAGAAGAATGTGCCCTGCTGCCAGTCTGAGGGTCAAAGTGCCAGAGCTAGCCGGGTCACCTCCCTCTTCTGGGAAAAGCCAGCCTGGGAATGCTGTGGTTTGGGCGACAGAGCCACCCTGTTGGCAAGCAGCTTGTGCGCTGGAATTCAGCACCTGAAGGGCAACATTCCTCCCTTCCACATGCCTACCGGGGTCAGCTTCAGACTGAGAAGTCAGTCCGTTTCCAGTCAAGCTGGCCTGGACCCCAGCAGGCAGAAACCAAATAGTGTCCCCCAGATCCAGTCATTCTCCCACTACAGAAGATGATGATCAAGAGCCTTTAAACCCCAATACAGCAGGCATTAGCTTAAAAAAGAAAAGGCTAGGGCAGGAGGATTACTTGAAGCCAGGAGTTGGAGACCAGCTTGGGCAACACAGCAAGGCTCTTATCTCTCTCTCTCTCTCTCTATATATATATATATATATATAAAATTTATATGTGTGTGTGTGTGTGTGTGTATATATAGGTATATATATATTCTTTTTTTTTTAATTAACCAGGCATGGGGACACATGCCTGTACTCCCAGCTTCTCTCTCTCTCTCTCTCTATATATATATATATATTTTTTTTTTATATATATATATATTTTTTTTTTTAATTAACCAGGCATGGGGACACATGCCCGTACTCCCAGCTACTCGGGAGGCTGAGGAGGGAAGATCACTTAAGCCAAGGAGTTTGAGGCTGCAGTGAGCTACGATCATGCCACTGCACTCCAGCCTGAGCAACAGAGTGAGACCCCATCTCTAAAATAAATTTTAAATGGTAATAATAAAGAGAAGAAAAAGGCCAAGGGCAGAGACTCATGCCCGTAATCCCAGCACTTTGGGACGCCAGGGCGGGTGGATCACCTGAGGTCGGGAGTTTGATACCAGCCCGACCAACATGGAGAAACCCGTCTCTCCTAAAAATACAAAATTAGCGGGGCGTGGTGGTGCACGCCTGTAATCCCAGCTACTCGGGAGGCTGAGGCAGGAGAATTGCTTGAACCTGGGAGGCAGAGGTTGCGGTGAGCTGAGATAGCGCGACTGCACTCCAGCCTGGACAACAAGAGTGAAACTCCATCTCAAAAAAAAAAACAAAAAAAAACAGAAAAGAAAGAAAAATGCTTCTCCATAATTGCCACAGTACTAAGACTTTTGTTTCAGGCACACTAATCCCATAGATAACAGTCCAGGCATCACGAGGTTTTTACGTGAGCTAACAATGTCATCAGCTTCTACCTACCAGATTTCACAAGAGTGTGACTATGGGAAGGCGGAGTCAGGGACATTCCAGCTACCCCGGAAGAATTGTTTTCAAGTCTCTGTTACATAGTTCACTAGCGCCAAAGGGAGAACTGTTGATGCCTATGCCGAAAATAGTTTTTCATTCCGCATAAAAATGTCTGCTTCGCCTTTAAGAAACTAAAAAAAGAAATAATAATACAAAAGGAAAGACCTTAGTAATGAAAGGAAGTGGCCACTGAAGAATCACAAATGCTAGCCAGAAAAAAGTAAGAACTGTTGCTTGAACTCTACAATCTGTTATCTCCCCATTAATGAACGCAAACCAATTAAATGCAGTTGCCCCAGCTAAAGAATTTACAAGCAAGCAGTTTTCATATCTGAAATTCTAAAATACTGCTTTGGAGATAATGTATAGCTTTTAGGATTGCTAATGGAATCTTCAGGCTGCTGTCAATGAGCGCATT